GAGTGAGTGGTGGAGGAGGGGGCGAGGAGGACGGAGGGAAGGAAGGAAGGAAGGGCGGATGCGGGCGGGATGGCAGCCTACAAAACTAGAACCCCACACAGAGATGTGGGGAAATACGAACCATAAAGAAAACTCGGACCAAAGCTGGCCCAGTAGAGCAGGTTTATAATGCATGCCTGCCGACCTCGGATACCTAAACAGGCTGGGCACTTCTACAAGTGGACTGTATGTAGTTGTAACATTCACCACCAATAGCGCAGGTACGCCAAAGGAACGTTTCTCTTAGATATCAGTGTGAACTCTGGCCACCGTTTTCGTTGGTACAGGAACCGGAGTCACACCTGTGCCCCCTGCGAAAACAAAGTTAACCATGACTCTATGGCGCATACGCGCGCACCATCACTTCCACAGTCACCTCCAATACTGGGATTTTTCGGCGCTTGTTCTTCGGCCGCCAGGCACACTACCCTTACAAGGAGCACTTCCATGGCCGCAAGCGATTGTGGGAGTGGAGAATACAAGGGAGGTTCAAGAGAAGGCCACAGCGGCAAGCTCATCATAGCAGGCTTATATATCATTTTCTTTCGTTTAAACAATTCTTGTATAATTATATATACACACACACTTACTGTAGACTCAGACTACAAACCACAGGCTTAGGTCCAGTTACCGTGCTTTGGAAGCTGGCAATTTAGCAAGTCATAGGCCTGGGCATTTGTACTGTGGCGTCGAGCTGGAGAAGCGTTTTGGCTGAACACGGCTGGAGCACGCTGGAACATTTGTGGTTTGATTTGATCGAGCAAGCTGTCTCGAATAGCAAGGTATGTGCCAGTGAACTTTGCCACACGCTTCTCGTCAGAATTTTCGCTTAACTGGCGGCAGGAACCTTGCCATTTTCTGGGCTGTAGGATGGCAATAATTGCAGCAGTGCAATTCTTTGTTTTCCTACAAATTCCTACTGTTTTTGACAGACCTGTGTTCGGGGCTTGAGCCAAGAGCAGTTTAACCGGCTGTCGAGGGGTACCCTTTGTGAGCTTGAAAACCTTGTGCATAAGTGAACCCAAAGCCGACGCATAGGTGAAACAAAGTCGATGCGTAAGTGAACCCTGCGGCGCGTAAGTGAGCCACTTGCCGATGCGCAAGTGAGATTTTTGCCGTATGTCTAACCGTATATTTGTATGGCTGTCATTCAATCTGTCACCGGCCTGCCCCCAGGAGGCTAGCTTTGCCTCATGGCATCAAGTAGGCAGGATTCGCTAGTCTATTCACATTGCTTCTTAGCTGCCTCCGTTTTGCTCACTTCTTTTTGGGATCCTGTTCCGCAAATTGTGTTGCTGGTCCCTGTCCGCTGTGACGTCGTTCGTGAAACTGTCAATGTCAAATCTTGGATGCATCTCCAAGCAACTCAATCGCAAACAACAAGTTTCCGAGGCCGCATTATGGTTTACGCGTGTTGAATTTGCTGCTCTTTTTTTCGCGCTGCGCGGATTTGTCAGAGATGGTTGGTTGGATGCTGCCACAACCTTGAGTTGGCAAGGTTGGGCCCAAAGAAAGCTCCCCAACCAAGGTACCATGATGCGAGGCATCATTCCTCTTGTACAGGTGACTTGGAAGGCAACAATGTTGATTGACCTTTGATGGGACCATTGGCTGAGGGTGCGTTGCAATGCAAGCAGATTAGCCGGCTCCTGAGAGCCCATTGGCCCACTGACCCAGCTTCTTTCCATGACAACCCCACCCAGGACATGAGATTGGAAAGGAAGATGATCCGTCGCTCAGGCAAACAGTTGATTTTTCTGAAAAGCTGACAACGTTGAAGCAAGTTCAACAGTTCTTTATGACAGTGTGACAGAATATCCCTCGCCGACAGTCGCTCACGGATGACACGCACAAATCGAGAAGCGAATACCGCTAACTTGAGGCTCAATCCCATAGAGGAAAAGCATCGTTTTTGCTTCGCATGGTAGCGGAGCGCTGGTCGTAAGAGCCGCGCTCCCTACCCGCGACACCCTCGCACCACGACGCGCCATTTGGGCCGACGATCCAGGTCAGTGGGCATTGGATTGGTGGAGCTTTTGCTCCTGGCGTGCATCGCCAGTGGTGCTGGCGATCGATTTTGCCAAGAGCTCAATCAGTACAGGCCGTGGGCCGTGGTCGCGCAGAACACCAAGCATAAGGTCAGGAAGATCCACACTGTGATCATCGAGGGTGACAACTACGTGGGTAGACTTCATTGGACCAAGGAGCACCAAGACAGTGAAGGCCTCTCTGGTCCTACGGGAGCGAGGAGGAAAGAGAAGAGGAAAGAAGCTCAAGCAGCTGGTGGTGATCGTCCCGGCTGGCTGGAAGTTCATTGAGAAGGTTGAGAAGCTACGAAACGAGACATCTGAGGAACAGATCTGTGAGCTGATTGCAAATTGGGACTACGTCACGGTGTTTGCCGAGAGTGGCCTTCTGATCAAGGACGACATTGAGGACCCCGACTTGGTGACCTACGCATTCCGTCCTGCAATCAAGGATCTTTGGAAGATGGCTGATGAGAGTCTGAAGATGATTTCACAAGCGTTGGAACGCCTGGCCGTGACCCGATCTTCCTCGTCGTGTCCAGGCATATGAAAACGCCTGATATCTTCGAGCCCGACACAAGGGACAACGAGATCAAGCAATGGAGTGACTGGAAGTTCAGCTTGCTGAACTACATCAAAGGCATTGATGCACGGATGGCAGCAAACATGGAAAGGGTCGAGGAGAACCTGAACGGCGACTTCAAGCTGAGCGACGTGACTGATGAGACCAAATCCATGGCGGTGAGACTGTATGGAGTGCTGATCTCATACCTCAGGAACCGCCCGCTCAAGCTGGTCAGGCGGCTCAAGGAGATGCAGCCTGCAACTCGAGCAAGATCATTGGCGCTTCTGACGCAACTCTCACGAGTACAATTCGCACAAAAAAACACTGTCAGAACCAAATCATCTACGAGCCCACCTACAGATGGATCTCAGACACAACGAGGTTTGAGGATCTGAAGAACAAGATCATGGAGTTGGAGGCCATTGCGACCCGATGGGACAGCAGCAACTCATTGGCTCTGCCTACCAGAGCAGGCATGGATGAGGCGACCCCCATGGAAGTGGACTATGTGGGAAAGGAGAAAGGCAAGAAAGGAGGCAAGAGCAAGTCGAAAGATCAGAAGGGCAAAGCAAAAGGAAAGGAGAAAGGAAAGGCGAAGTCCGAAGTAAAGGGCTCATGGAAGGGCTCAGACAAAAGAAAGAGCCTCTGGGAGAAGGGCCAGGAAAGAAAGGCAAAGGAGAGAAAGGTGGTAAGAGTGGCAAGTCTGGGACATGCCACATCTGCGGCAAATATGGACACTATGCAAAGGAGACCGTGCTCTTCAAGCGCCTAGTCAAGTACAAGCCAGTGATACCTAGTCTGGAACGATCAACATGTGATCCTCACACCTGAGGGAGCCTTCGAATCAAGAACAATCAGAAGATGCGCGCCCGAGGAAAGCTTGGTGGTTGCAAAAGGCCCACCAGGGAGCTACTCACCACAAGTCATTTTGATGAGGCATGGAGGACAAGCCCAACGATATCGACAACCAACACTGGAAGCAGAGTCAACTGAAGAGGAGCTTAAAGCAATCTCAGAAGCCATTGCTGCAGGTGTAGTGACACCAGCCCCAGGACTACATGGACAACCGAAGACACCTGCCATTGGAGCAACAGGAGCACCAACAACACCAGGAGTGGCGCCACAGACTCCAAGGACGAAGAGGCCAGCAGACGAGGGAGCGCAAGAAGAGGCAGAGGGGACAGAATCACCAAGGAAAGGCCATGAGAAAAGGGAGTCTCAGGATGAAGCCGCAAAGAGACAGAAGGTACAAGAAGAGGAGGAAAAAGTAGACGTAGCGATGGCATCGAATGCGTCAAGGCCGAGAGATGAAGGAACAGAAACGCACCCCGCAGCATCACCAACAAAGATGGCAAGGCTGTACCCACCGCATTTTGCTGGGATACAAAGCATTGAGGCACATGGAGATGAAGAGTTCGATTACGAGATGGTGCCAGAGGAGGTGACTGAGGAGCTGCAAGGGGATGGAGGAGAAGAAGAGGAACCACTAATCGCGACAGATGAACATGTAAGGATGCTGGATCAGGAAGCGAAGAGCAATGAGGTGGACAGGATGGTGAGCGTCCCAGTGATGGAGGAAGTGAAGCCGGACCTGATCTCCACAAAGTTCGTCTACTGTACAGGGTCGAGCGTGGAGGATGGTTCAGGTGAGCGCGTTTGGTGGCCAGACAGTTTAAGTAGCAAACATTCGCGCCTATGTCAATGCTAGTACTGCCAAAGATGCTCATCAATTTGATGCTAAACGTCTTCAAGCACTTCATGGTGCCTGCCAGGACAACGAACAGCATCATCCCAGTGGTTTCAACTCTTCACTGGAGCCGCAAAGCAGTTCGGCATGGAGCAGGACATCATGCAACCTACACTGCTGATGATCCACAAGGTGATATACATCACAGTGCATGTGGACGACGTCTTCATGGTCGCTGACGAGAAGGCCATGGTTTGTGGACTTCCTCAAGATGAAGAAGAAATGGAGCGTCGAGGAGAAAAGGGCCATTTTTGATGGGAGAGCGATTCTCCTACCTGAAGAGAGACTTCACCCTGTACCGGGGCTGGTCTCAGACGAGGTGGAAGACAAGGAGACACTCCTGGACCTCTTGGAAGTGGTGACAGATGCAGACTATGCCGGCGATCGAAATGATCGGAGAAGCGCCGCGTCCTTCCAAGTGTTCATCGATGGGAACCTCATGGAGTCAAAGGTGAGAGCCCATGAAGGCAATATCCCTTTCGTCGGGGGAGTCAGAATTTGTGGCTGTGGTAGCAGGATCATCGGATGGACGCTCATCAAGAACCTGTGGGAGAAGATCACAGAAGAAAAGTGTGAAATGAAGGTGCGGTCCGACAGCTCAGCTGCAAGGGCGATGGTTCAACGACAGGGCATAGGCCGTGTCCGACACCTGGACGCGTCGCTCTTGTGGGTTCAGCAGAAGGAGAAAGAGAAGATCCCCAGCGTCGGACCCATCCCAACAGGGTTGAATTGCGCAGACATAGGGACAAGGCCTGACAAAGAAGCGCGTGATGGGACTCCTCTACACGCTGAAGATGGCGGAGGAGAAAGAGTTGGAGAAGAGGAGTACAAGGAACTTGAACACCGAGAGCAAATGAAGAAAGGACTGAAGGAGGTGGCGAAGAACAAAGACCTTCACATCGGGTTGTAGCTGATGATGGCAACGATGGACCAGGCAGCAGCAACCAACATCCTTGAGGAGAACGAGAAAGAGGATGAACAAGGATTGCAGTGGATGATGTTGTGGCTATGCGCCATAGTGGAAGCCTTGGGCCTGGTGGAGTGGCTGCGGCGCACATTGATCAACAAGACAATCTACGTGATATGGGGCTACATCATGTCCAGCATGAAGCCGGTGATCAGGGAGATCATGAAGTACATGACCACCGGTGGGATGAAGGAGAAGGCAACACAAGCCTGCTGCTGGGCAGATCATGAAGCCCTGAAGAAATGTGAAAAGGAGAATGAAGAAATGAAGAACAAACTGTTCCAACTCGACACATACATCGAGGAGTTGGAACAGACGATCGAACAGGTGAAAGAACAAAGGGAGATGGCTTTCGCAGAAGCCCAAGTAGCCACACAACATGGGCTAAAGCTCATGAAGCAAAGCCTGAACTACAGGGTTTGCAAGAAGGGTCAAAAGATCAATTTTTCAGAAAAGTGCCCACATTTTGATGGAGCACTGCATTTGGAAATGTGCGTGAAATGCCTGGGCGATGGGGGCGTGACAGAATATCCCTCACCGACAGTCGCCCACGGATGACACGCACAAATCGAGAAGCGAATACCGCTAACTTGAGGCTCAATCCCATAGAGGAAAAACATCGTTTTTGCTTCGCACAGTGTGTAAGCTTCATTTTCGTTCTCATTTTCATTCTCATTTTTCCCTCTCTCTCTCTCCCTCTCATACTTGTACCAAAGTCGCCTGGACACCGTTGCAAGCAGAAACAATCATATAATACTATATATATGTGTATACGTGTATATATATATATATGCAGTATACATATTGTGATTCTGACCAAATGGAACCTTCCCAAAACCACAAAGAACCTACCTGGACCCTGTCCTAAACACAACGAACCCTGTACACCTAACTCCTGGTTTTCCTTTCCTGCTCAAGTCTCATGACCCGCCTCTCCCGCCCCGGACTCGTGCCGGAGGGTTGAACATCCAAGGATCCGGCGGACGCTGCATCTGCACAATTCACATACCAACCATTTTCTAGCTTTGTATGTTCTCGTCTGTTTTTCTAGATCCCTTCAACCAAGCTAGTCTATGTCTACGGTCAGCACGTTCTTTAAGTGCAGAGGTCTCATCAAAGAGACTGTAGCGACCTTCTGCCAGACATTGCCTCAACATTGATGCATCCATAGCTTTAGTTAGGAGTCTGCCAACTGGGTTTGGGAGTTTACCCACCTTAACCGACAATTTTCTCGAAGCCTCTCTCTTATGAGAATGCATTCCAAACATGTCCGATACTCTTCGCAAGTCGGGGTGGATGTATTTGTCGAGACGTCGTATAGAGATTTACAATCTGTGACTATGGATGCGAGAGGCGCCTTGGCCAACATTTCCTCAGGTTCCATCACATTTGCTCCGGGATTTTTCAACCATTCCCACAATAAACGCAGCCAGG